ACATAAAATACTCCAAGGCAAGCTGGGTAAACTTCTCAGGAGAGACAATGTTCCCAGAAGGTATTCAGATAGGATTGCAGAGATTATTACATACACACATGCATCTGACGAAGTGGGCATTCACCCACAAAAGCTTATGCTCCAATACATCTGTTAGTCTTAAAGGTGCCACAGGACTCTCTGTTGCTTTTTACAGATCCAGACTAACACGGCCACCCCTCTGATACTTGGCACCATGCAAGGCACTGCATTTAGCCGTATGGAATGGAAATCTATCAACCTCATGAAGAAACTTGCACAAGGACAGACAGATATCATCTTCTTTACATACACACAGTTAGCTATTAAAAGCTAGATTCTAGCCATGCATGGGGCTGGCGGGTGATGGAGAATAAGGAGCCCACCTCCATCTCTCCCCACTTTGAACTGTTTGTGTAAGTTCAATCAGACATGCAGCCCCTGCAATTGAGGGACAACAGGGCTGCTTCCAAGGTGCTCCCCACAGGGAACATGTTGCCCAAAAGGCTGTGTGTGTGTAGGGACAGGAATCAGGCAAGTAGTCCCACTGAGTGAGGACTACTCATCTTGAGAAAGGCTGCCAGAATTGAGCTGTGTGGCTGATGCTTCATCCTTTGTCTTGTCACATAAGGCATGCTATGAACTAAACTGCTTACCCTTTAGGACCAGATTGTGCCTGTCCCTTACAGCCGGGAGGACAGAGCAAGGAGATTTCTTCCACATAGTGACCCGCCCCACAAATGCAGTTCCTGGGACCCTTGCTCCTCCCAAGGTAGTATATAGTGCTCCAATTAGTATGATTTAAAGTGCCAAGTCTTTTTTTTTAAATCATGACCAGGCCACCACCCTGATTATATTTATTCTGTGTCTCTCACTTCTAATCATCAGTAATGATCATTGGTTTGGTCCAAAACCCACTGATTAGTGAAAAGACACCTTGAAAAGGCTTTTATGTGCTTTAGATCAGGCCCAATCTGCATTTTAATTTCTTAAAGGTGGGGTTATCTCACAAACATTTGGGAACTTCCAAACATGCTGTGGATAAGGGATAAAATTATCATGCTCACCTATTGACTTTCAGTGTGCCTTCGGCTCCTAAGTTACTATTAAAAATGGGACTTGGGCTCATACATCACTTAGGAATTTGTGAACATTTTACCCAATATGGATAGTTTGTTATCCACATAGTAATGTACTTATGGGCATTCATAATGCTACAAAACTTTTAGAAAGTGGTGCTACTTTGGAATGATATTATGATACCAGCCAGGCAAGTCAGTCTTGGAAATACCATCCTTTCTTTTTGTACTTCCACAAATGATATCAAAACACATTTTTGGCTCAGTCCTGCTTGCCTTATTCATGTAAATACTTCCACTGACTCTACTAGTCTGCAAGCACAAGGAGCACATCTTTAGGTATTTGCTGGCACTGTCCATTTTCATTCCTTACATTCATACTATGTAGTGTTTTGAAGTCATATGCCCTCAGTTAAGCCAGTTTTCTCTGGAATAACCGAAGATGCAGAGTCCGCTGGTAATAGAAAAAGTACCAAGTTAGCAGTTTACAGTGGCACTCATTGTTCACTTGGGGACCCTGCAAACAGGCAGCATTGCCCCAAAAGTGCATAGTGCTGGCTGGGGAGGGGATATGGACATAGCAGACAGGGGTCACTCTGATTAGATGCATGCAACCCAAAACAGTCTAGCGGCTGAGGAGCACTGACTGCCAATAAATGTTTTCTACTTCAGAAGAGATCCTGATTCACACTGTGATGAATAACATCCACAAACTATATTTCTCTATATCTCCATATTGCATTCAAGTCACTCATTTTTACATGTTTAAGTTCAGAGTCACAATCATAACTATCCCCATTGAAAGGGATATGAATTTGGACAGAAAATACTCAGCCCCATCAAAGAGTTTATAGGTCTGTGTGATGGGGTTGGGACTTACCACCTGGCGCATCCTACTGGTTGTCTCGGGAATTAGCTCTGTCCAGTGGATCGGCCCCTCCTGGTGGTGTCCCGTCCGTCATCTCACCTTCAGTTGGCGTGTCCGGACCCGCGTTGCTCCCAAGCTCATGGCGTCCTCTTCGAGCCACTGCCCTCTGGCAGTGCCCCTTAGTCCATCCTCGCCCCCTTCCGGGGGGGTGGGGGGGAAGGAATCAATCAGCTGCCTCTCTGCGTCCTGGCCGATGTGGCCAACTGCACCCTTAAAGTCACTCCCCTCTTGGCAGGGGGTTGGTGCAGCTCTAGATGGCCACTCCGTCGGCTGGGTGCAAGGCAAAGGGGGGACCCAGGCCCGCCCACTACTCTGGGTCCCAACCCAGGGACCCTCTAGTGGCAGCCATCCTGCCCTCCTTCTCTCCTTCTGTCTGTCCACCTCCCTGGTCTGCTTCCCCTTCGGCCCCTCGCACCGGCTAGGCCTTTCCCTTCAGGGCCTGCAGTCTGACAGACTCCCGGCTGGAGTTACCCTCTGCTCCCCCGGGCCTGCCCAGCACTGTGCTGTCCCAGGTGCTAGTCTCCCAGCCTGGAGACAGACCTTCCCCTGTCGAAAAGGCCTGGGACAGACTCCTTGCTGCTCTTCCTGAGCAGCCTTTTATAGGGCTGAGCCTGGCCTTATTGGCTGCCTCCAATCTGGGCCCTGATTGGCTCCCTATAAGGCCTTCCCTGATTGGCTCCCTGTCTGTGCAGGCCCACTGGCCTGCTGCAGCCCAAATTCAGGGAGTGGGGCAGCCGCCCCACTACAGTCTGGTTTTACAGCATTCCCCAGATCTCTATGTATTAAATGACTAAAGAATATCTGGGTGCTTCCTCTGCAAATAACATTTGGATTAAAGTAGCATTAATAACAGCTAAAAATAACACTTTAAGTCAGAAGAAAAATGAGATAAATCCTTCTATTGCAGAATGGACAATATTCTTATCCATTTCAGCAGCATCGGAGGAGGTACTGTATCTTACAAGGGATAGATTATTTTTAGAAAATATGGGCTCAGTGAGGGAGAGATAAAGAACAGGTATATGTGGAAAAGGCTTAGACTTAAGGAAAATGTTTAAGATGACAAACATGAAATTTGTGTCTTGTATATTTGAAGGTTTATATATATATATATATATATATGCATACATATACTGTATCTCCTTATGTATATGTTACTACATGACTACTTCCATATATGGAATTAGACATGTGACGTTCTGATGGCCCTGTAAATAATATATGAGTTACTGTAACACAGAAGGTACAATTCTGCTTGGCCCTTATGTTGAAAGCACTGGAGGCTAAAGTTCCATTTGTGCCCAAGTCCTACAATGAACTCCACATAAAGGCCAGGCAGAATTTGTCCTATATGAAATTCAAGCCAATTATCACACTTATTCTCAGTTCTGTATGTTAGAGATCTCTTCAGATATAGCATCTGATCACTAGATAGTAAATTGGGCATAACCAGTTTCATAGATCCCCATTTAGGGCCTAATCTGAGAAAGTGCTTAGTGCCCCTAACAAAGCATCTTTCAGTAGGTACCTAGTATTTTGCAAGATTGGTCCCTTGGGGACTAAGTTGTCAGTCCTACACATTACCACAGCAAAGAACTGAACTAGTCCAGCAGCACAACTCAACCAGATGAGCTAAGTAAGAGCTCTCTGAACACCAGATTCTGCAGTCCTCCTATTAAGTAGCACTTACATGAGTAGTCTAATCAACATTAATGGGACTACTCATGTAAATGCCACGGTATTGCAACCCCAAACTGAAAAATTATGAATCAGACCTCATCAGATTATTTAAAAAGTTACATTTTGGGTTCTTTTTATGTTGAGGCTTTAGGAGTCACATTTTCCAAGCTTTTTCTTACAACCATGAGGGGTAGAAATTTACTTTTTATTTTTCTTAATGAAAGCTGTGATTCTCACATAATCATATGATTCCAGGAGCTGGGGCTTTAAGAAAACACCAAATACCATGACATTTGCAATAAAATCACAAATGCTGGCAACGCTGGTGCTCCACAGCATGAGTAATTATTTGCAGAATCTGGTCCTAATCCAATAAGAGCTCTGTGAAGTTTGTCCAAATTACCAGTCACTCTGACTATGTAGGGGGTTAAATTCAGAAGATGATCCTATACTTGACAGTAAACTACCCTATACTAATTAGTAGAGTTCCCCCATTTAGTAGCTGGAATAACTTTGCATACTTCCTTGAACTGCTATAATCAAGCCTCAGACTAGGAGCTAAGTGATCTGAGAAATGGTATTTATCATAACAGTACATCCACTGGCAATGGTAGGCAGAAGTGCACCTAGGTGAGTCAAAATAGACTCCTCTGTTTGGCCAGACCAGTCCATATGCTACATTGGAGTAGACTCTGTCACATATTGCATCAGAGGACTATTGAACTGATAAGTAATGTGGACTGAAATATCCTTCTCGTTCAGGAATTCACTCACAAAACACTGACTTGAATCTTTCTATGACTACTAGTAGATATAAGTATTACTGTTGGACCAAATCCCGTACTCCTTATCCTGGTCTTATTGAAGTTAATGTTAAAACGTGCATTGACTTCGGTGGGAGCTGGGCTTGTTCATTCAAAAATTCCATTGATATTAATTGAAATTCTGACTAATTATTACAAACTTTAGCCCAGAATTAAGAAACAGAACATATTTTTCCTAATTCACAGGCAAGTGAAGGCAGATTTTTTTCTAAGAAATGTCTTTTTTTCATCTGTAGTTATTGACTAACTCATTTTATCTAATCTCCTGGCAGATGGAGCATATAATTTGGTTTGGCACATACACTGTTCTGATGTGTAATACATTATGTCAACAAAATCAGGTGTGCTGCAGCCTTTCAACAATATATTCTGATCAGACAACACAACAAGTTGCAGTTGGCTGACAACTCTATTAAAAATTAACACAGCTATTGTTTTCAAAATTGAATTGTTTATAAATATGCTTTGAAATAAATATCCTTGTAATTTTTAATGGTGTACTGTGTAAACTGTACAACTAATAGAACTGGTCAAAAAGCACTCACAAATAGTCTGATTATTTTTACATCAATTGTTGAATAATCTATCCTTATATACCTGTTTCCACTATTCAACCAACTCTGTAGATAGTTAAATAATATCCAAATAAACAATTTTTGCTGGCTTCAAACAATTCAGAATAATTTATTCAGAAAACTTTTCCCAGTGTTTGACCACATTACCATTAAATTTAGGATCTAGCACCCACAACAGAGGCCAGATTATCGAGAGAGCTCAGCTCACATTTTGGTACCTAAATTAAGTAGTGAGATTTTCAAAAATGCTCAGCAACCATCAATTCCTATTAATAACAATAGCATCTGCTGAGACCTGGGACTTCAATGAACTGGTCAAAGTATGTAAGAATAAACCATTGCAGAACTTGCTACTTTTGTACAAAAATGGAGGATTGGGTCCAATCCTTGATTGGATGATTAAAACTTTGTAAACTTTGGAAACAGGGGAATATCAAAGACAGAATAAGGAAGAATTAACTTCTGGTACAAATTTTCAGACAACTTATCAATTATGCATACTAGAATTTTCAAACATTTCCATATTTATGATATTGTTATAATACACAGCGCACATTGGAATAGTCACGAATGACATATAATGGGATTCCATGAACCATAGCAGACCAAACTCAGCATGCAAATATTCACAAATTTGTACTATTTGACCAGCTCCATTTTTGTAGGAAATAAACAAGGGAGAGGAAACTTTAAATACTGAAACAAAAAAGAAGTCTAATATATTATTATAAATATAAAGGGTCAGATCCTCAGTTGGTATAGATTGATTAGCGTCATTGATTACAATTGTTTGCTGTGAAACATGCCACCATTTCCATTTACTTCAGTGGAACTATGCCAATTTATTCCAGCAGAGAGTCTGGCTCTATTTTTCAAAAGAACTTCTTTCTAAATTTTAAGTTTTGACTTAGAACTTTCAGACAGTTCGTTTCTGTTCTTGCTCCAGCTCTAAACGGCATTCTGGAGCCAAGGAAAAAATTGCCTTCATGAACATGTTTACCTCAGATCACACAAGTCAATATCCTCAGCTGGTATGACACAGAATAGCTCAATTTAAACTGATAGAGCTACATTGATTTACTCCAGGCAAGGATCTGGCCCACAAAAATGCTTATACTGTATTTCTATTGATGAACTGTGGGCTGTTTGATAACATTTGAAGGCTTGGAAACAATAGTCACTCAGTCACAAAAAGGAAGATCCTCCTTAGAGATTTACAACAGATTTTGTTCTTCTATGTCAAAATGCCACGAGCCTAAAAGGAAAAAAAGAACAGTGGGAGTAAAGTATGTTGGACATGCCAATAAATTAATGATAAATTATTAAAGCATGATTGGAAATATTGCCATTTTTCACAGCTGTCAGTTTAAGTATAAAAGCATCAGCACATTAAACTAGTTACTGCTTTTTCATAATTGAGACTTTAGCTTCTAGCTGTGCCCTGAAGCTTTTCATTAATCACTAGAACTGAAGTTCAAGCACAATGACAGCTTAGAAGGCATTAAATGGGCAAAGTATTTTCCAGGTACAGCTAGTAAAGGCCTTTTAGTCCTATAATCCTTAGCTAATTGTTTTTCAAAGTCTCTAAACAAAATCTGCTCATGGCGTCTCCTAGTGACAGAATTAGCAGCAGACTGGTTTTCTTTTTATCTTCACACGCTTTCTCTCACTGAAATCTATCGAGTGCCTATTTGTTAGCTGCATATAACAGGTGCAAAAGGACTGAGATATGTAAAACTGTAACTGATACTTAACCAAGGAAACATTGATTAGATTGCCTGGGAAATAATACTTCCTGAATACTTACTCTAATCATACCATTTAATTTTTCATAAAAAGAACAAGATGTCATGGAAGTTTTTAAACACGGTTAGCTTCTCTTTATCTAGAAGAGAAGGAAATGTGTGTACTTTTGTTTTAAGTTAAATTGAATTTGCATACTCACTTCCATGTACTAAACAGGGCTTTCCACATTCATACTTGATCTTTAAGATATCCATCCTAAGCTTCTATTCTTCCTCGTTCACCTTCTCTCCTTGCAAAGTGTTGTACATCAGGATTTAATGGATATGCCAAAACATTCTTTCTTTTGTATAACAAATTATCAAGTGCATTGAGATTCATTAATTATGTCATCTAATTGGATTGAGGCAGGTGCAAAATACCTCAGATGAAGTGGTCACTGGCAGAAAGGCCTAAGCGCAAGTTTTTCTATTAGAAACCAGCATGTCTCCAGGCTCCTGGAATTACTTTGTACTTATTGATTAATGGCCATAATTTATTACAGTGCAGAAGATCTTGCATTGAGTTAAATGTGTGATTAATCAATTTTCCATCAAATTATGAACAGCAGAACAGTTGCCAGAAAGAAAATACCAAGTGAATTTTTCCCATGGCGTAGGAGTATAAGGTATGAGGACTTCTGTTTTAGGAGAACTAATAACTGTCTATCACTTGTTTAATATTTCCTGCCACTCTGATAAATGCCATCCCCACAAATAGACCACAGGTAGCAATGATTGAAAGACCACCAAATATGTTTTATAGCTGCCTCTCTTATGTAATGAAATATTCCTTAAATCCATTTCAAAACAATTTATTAATGCAAAATGCATTTCTGCCTTCAGCCTGAAATACATCATTGTTAAGTCAACAATATTATATTAAACTGATAACTGATATTGCGAGGGAAAAGATCCCTAGGCAACACAGATGAATTTGAGATTTTTGTGTACAGGAGCTCATTTTTATTTTCCACCAAAACCATAGAAAAGTGACTAATTGATGTCACTTCTAATCGGCTAGTAATGCACATCACACGTATAGCATGGGAACACTTGGGGCCCAACTGAAAAAAGAAAAAAAAGGATCCCATAGCACTTTCACATCTTTTATGCCAAAGAACTGACATGCTTGCTTTCTCTAGTTAAACAGTGGGTGAAGTAATGTTTCCTATTGCCTCTTGACTCCTCAAGGCCATTCTGCACCATTGTACAGTTGAGGGTTGCACTCCCCCAAACATGGGATGGTGACAGACAAGAAGGGGCAATAGAACTTATTAGAACAGTGTAAAAACAGCAGAAAAAAGTGAAAAGTTTAAAAAAAATGTCAAAAGAGAGGAAACACTGAAGACTAGACAAAGAGAATATACAGGATGTAGTTTAAATCTGTCCAGTGGCTGTCTTAATTTATGTGTCATCAAAACCCATAGAGGCAAATTCATTCAGGTGTAACTGCTGGAGAATGACTTATAGGGCACATATTTTCTCTCTTTCCCTTTACAGTCATGGGATACAAAATGCTCCACCAAATTATGCAGATGCTGCAGTGAGGCCAAGATTTTCAAAAGTGACTGGTGATTTTGAGTACTTTAATTTGTGAGTGCCAACCTGAGACACTTTCAATTAGCCTGATTTTCAGAGCATGGGTGCTGAGCACTTTCTGAAAATTAGGTCATTTTAAAATGCTCCAGCTCACTCACTACCATCTGATGGCTGTTCCCTGAGCTATTTTAAACAAGTTGAGGGTCCTAACTTTTAGTGGACAGGTGTTTACCTCACAAAAACCCATTACACTTGACACTGGCATCAGTCAATAGGAAGACCAGTGACTGTATGTTGTTTCAATGCAAGGGAGACAGAAAAGGAGACTGAAATTTAAATCTGAGAATAGATATTATAGAATGAAGTAAAAAAATAAAAGCCAACAACTTTGGCCGTGTTTAGTCAATATATCATTAACTGCTCCACTGAGAATGTAGTTTATATGTTGGGATTAGGATTAAAGACATGGGAAACCTTGTTTGCTATGCCTGAATCCTATTTATAAAGACTAAGACCCCTAATGATGAAAAATCTTTGGCTTATTTCCATACAATTCATATTATATTTACTCAAGGAAAATATGGAACATTTTTTTCTATTTACCTTTTTTTGTGTGACATCCATTAAAGTTGTGTTTCCACTCCCAAATGTGGCTAATGCGGTGAACTCTTCTTCACTTTTAAGCTCCTAAGAGATGTACAACTCCAAAAAGGGAAGAAAGTTAGGCTGCTAAATGGTCCAATCTAGCTCTAAGATGAATAATGGGCATATTCATCAAAAAGGCTTTGAACAAATCATAAAAAAGGGGGAGTACAAATTACTGCTGCCCTGAGAAAGTTGAAAATTGCATGCTGTCCACTTGAGTGAAAAATTGCTGAAACGTACAGTAGGGCAGTATAAGCAGCACAGCAACTTAGCTGTGAAATGAAATATTTATACCCACAGAAGTTTCTGTCTCTGGGTGAGTGTTTGTGTGTATGTAACCACATATAATTCAAGAAGTAAAAAGAGGATTGCAATAACTGAACATGTTTTAAAAAAATGTTTAATACTTATTTTGTTTAAAATAGGGTTCAGTAGTGGTGACTTTGGCTCAGGGTACAGTTCTTTCTTCTTTCCTAGCATCTTAAAAATGTCCAAACCCAATCATATCCTATTTTGCAGACATGCATAATAATCTCATTCACTGCACTGAGCTGGCATTAACAATTAACACTTTAGTCCAGCAGGGACCTAATAAAACTAAGTGAATGGGTAGCATAATGGCAGACAAAGCAAAATTTTGATAAGGACCTGGATTTTGAATCACATCCAACTACCCTCAAAATATGACATTGATTAAGATCTGGGTCTTTGACTTGACCATTATGAAGACAGGGTCCCCATTTGAAAATTTAGACCTGGATTCAGGGTTCAGATTCTGTACTCCTGCAGAGTTTGAGGTTATTTGGATCCAGGATTTTGATTCAGGACAATCTCAAAGGATTGTTGATAGGTGGGAAGGTAGGAGGAACTGTTCTCACGTTCCATGGCCTACGACTATATTGCTAATGTATATGATCAACGTTGTCATCTACTGTATATATTTAGCCTATATCTGGATTCAAATACTTATTTTCTTTAAAACTGCAATACTAATTTGGGCCCAATCTGCACCTTTACTCACCATGAGTCACACAAATGAACTCACTGTGAGTACTTGAATAGATTTCAAGGTCAGAAGGGACCATCATGATAATCTAGTCTGACCTCCTGCACATTGCAGGCCACAAAATCTCACCCACCCACTCCTGAAATAGACCCACAATCTTTGGATGAGTTACTGAAGTCCTCAAATCATGATTTAAAGACTTCAAGTTACAGAAAATTCACCATTTACACTAGTTTAAACCTGCAAATGACCTATGTCCCATTTTGCAGAGGAAGGTGAAAAACCCTCAGGGTCTCTGCCAATCTAGCCCAGGGGGAAATTCTTTCCTGACTCCAAATATGGTGATCAGCTAGACCTTGGCTATGGACAAGACACACCAGCCACACACCTGGGAAAGAATTCTCTGTAGTAACTCAGAGCCCTCCCCATCTAGTGTCCCATCTCCAACTGTTGGGGATTTTTGCTAGCTGCAGTTGCCAATGGGCCACATGCCATCATAGGCAATTCCATCATACCATCCCTGTCATAAACTTACCAAGCTCAGTCTTGAAACCAGCTAGTTTTTTGCTCCTCTTGGAAGGCTGTTCCAGAACTTCACTCCTTCAATGTTTAGAAACCTTTGCCTAATTTCGAGCCTAAACTTGTTGATGGCTAGTTTATATCCATTTGTTCTTCTGTCCACATTGGCACTTAACTTAAATATCTCCTCTTCCTCCCTGGTGTTTATCCCTCTGATGTATTTATAGTAGTGCTGTCAAGCGATTAAAATTTTTTTTAAATTAATCGCACTGTCAAACAATAATAGAAAACCATTTATTTAAATATTTTTGGATGTTTTCTACATTTTCAATTACAACACAGAATACAAAGTGTACACTGCTCACTTTATATTTATTTTTTATTACAAATATTTGCACTGTAAAAAACAAAATAGTTTCAATTCACCTAATACAAGTACTGTAGTGCAATCTCTTTATCATGAAAGTTGAACTTACAAACGTAGAATTATGTACAAGAAAACTGCATTCAAAAATAAAACAATGTAAAACTTTAGAACCTACAAGTCCACTCAGTCCCACTTTTTGTTCAGCCAATTGCTCAGACAAACATGTTTGTTTACATTTGCAGGAGATAATGCTGCCCGCTTCTTGTTTACAATGTCACCTGAAAGTGAAAACAGGTGTTCTCATGGCATTGTTGTAGCTGGCATCACAAGGTATTTACATGCCAGATGTGCTTAAGATTCATATGTCCCTTCATGCTTCAACCACCATTCTAGAGGACAGGCTTCCATGCTGATGACGGGTTCTGCTTGATAACGATCCAAAGCAGTGCAAACTGACACATGTTCATTTTCATCATCTGAGTCAGATGCCACCAGCAGAAGGTTGATTTTCTTTTTTGGTGGTTTGGGTTCTGTAGTTTCCGCATCAGAGTGTTGCACTTTTAAGACTTCTGAAAGCATGCTCGCACCTCATCCCTCTCAGATTTTGGAAGGCACTTCAGATTCTTAAACCTTGGGTTGAGTGCTTTAGCTATGTTTAGAAATCTCACATTGTACCTTCTTTGCGTTTTGTCAAATCTGCAGTGAAAGTGTTCTTAAAATGAACAACGTGTGCTGGGTCATCATCCGAGACTACTATAACATGAAATATATGGCACAATGGAGGTAAAACAGAGCAGGAGACATACAATTCTCCCCCAAGGAGTTCAGTCACTAAGTAATTAATGCATTTTTTTTTAACAAGCATCATCAGCATGGAAGCATGTTCTCTGGAATGGTGGCCGAAGCATGAAGGGGCATATGAATGTTTAGCATATCTGGCATGTAAATACCTTGCAATGCCAGCTACAAAAGCGCCATGTGAATGCCTGTTCTCACTTTCAGCTGACATTGTAAATAAGAAGCAGGCAGCATTATCTCCTGTAAATGTAAACAAACTTGTTTCTCTTAGCGGTTGGCTGAACAAGAAATAGGACTGAGTGGACTTGTAGCCATCAAAGTTTTACGTTGTTTTGTTTTTGAGTTCAGTTATGTAACAAAAAAAATCTACATTTGTAAGTTGCACTTTCACAATAAAGAGATTGCACTACAGTACTTGTAGGAGGTGAATTGAAAAATACTATTTATTTTGTTATTTTTACAGTGCAAATATTTGTAATCAAATATAATAATATAGAGTGAAAACTGTACACCTTGTATTCTGTGCTGTAATTGAAATCAATATATTTAAAAATGTAGAAAAACATCCAAAAATATTTAATAAATTTCAATTGGTGTTCTACTTTTTAACAGTATGATTAAAACTGCAATTAATCGTGATTAATTGTTTTAATCATGATTAATTTTCTTTAGTTAATCGCATGACTTAACTGCGATTAGTCAACAGCCCTAATATAGAGAGAGCAATCAAATCACCCCTGAGCCTTCCTTTGGTTAGGCTTAACACGCCAAGCTCTTTGAGTCTCCTCTCATAAGGTAGGTTTTCCATTCTTCAGATAATCCTAGTAGCCCCTCTCTGTAGATCCTCCAGTTCGAATTCATCTTTATTAAGCATGGGAGACCATAATTGCATACAGTATTCCAGATGAGGTTTCACCAGTGCCTTGTATAATGGTACTAACACTTCCCTGTGTCTACTGGAAATACCTCACCTGATGCATCCTAGGACTGCATTAGCATTTTTCACAGCTGTATCACATTGGCGGCTCATAGTCATCCTGTGATCAACCAATACACCCAGGTCTTTCTCCTCCTCTGTTGCTTCCAAGTGATAAGATCCCAGCTTATAGCAAAAATTCCTGTTGTTAGTCTCTAAATGCATGACCTTGCCCTTTGCAATATTACATTTCATTTCATTTCTATTACTCCAGTTTTCGATGTCATCCAGGTCTTCTTGTGTGACATTCCAGTCCTCCGTCATATTGGCTATACCTCCCAACTTTGTGTCATCTGCAAATTTTATTAGCACACTCCAACTTTTTCTGTCAAGATCAGTAATAAAACTGTTAAATAAGATTGGTTCCAAAACCGATCCTTGAGGAGCTCCACTAATAACCTTCCTTTCAACCTGACCGTTCACATTTCAGTATGACCCATTGCAGTTTCCCCTTTAACCAGTTCCTTATTCACCTTGCAATTCTCATATTAATCTCCATCTTCTCCAATTTAACTAATAATTTACCATGTGGAACTGTATCAAATGCCTTACTGAAATTCAGGTAGAAGAGATCTACTGCATTTTCTTTGTCTAAAAAATCAGTTATCTTCTCAAAGAAGGAGATCAGGTTGGTCTGGCATGATCTGCCTTTTGTAAAACCATGTTGTATTTTATCCCGGTTACAGTTCATCCCAAAGAGTTGCATAATTTGACCCTTTAATTATGAAAATATGTGCATCCCTTTGCACATTACCAATATAGATCTTTTTCATCAGAAAGATAGAGAAGGGAGAATCAAAAATTTCCAAATATCTTGTATGAATGCTGCCACCTCCTTTTTGCAATGTTATGTCCTCTAATAAAAACAAGAGTCAGACATTGGTGCTACCAATTATTAATTTTGGGTCCAATCACAAATACCTTGAATTTCCAACTTCATTGGTAGCTTTGGGCACTCAACAAATCTCAGTAGGACCTGAGTATCTTTCAGAATTGGCCTTAAGTCACTATAATGAATAGATATATACTTACTTTTGAAGATTATAATTTATAGATGTATTCATTTATTTTTCTCTGATTTAAGCTCTATAGGAATATGTGGAGGGGTAACATGATGCTGATGTTCCTTGAATGCATGCATGTGTCCAAGCACACTGTTTCATGGCTGTGGCTGGCAGTTGGGTCAGGTGACCAAATATCACGTGATGACAATCTGAAGGTGGTGTTTCCTTTAAGAGGGAGCCACCCTAGACAGGTGTGGGAGACACAAGGTCAAGGAAAGTACCTGGAAAGGGGCTTTCTGCACCAGAAGGCATGGCAGGAGATAAAGGCAGGGAGTGGGAATAGAAGACTCAGTTGGGAAAAGAAGCTTTAGGATAGGTCAAGCAGCAGTACCTGGGGATGGGAAGGAACAAGAAAGCCTATTGGGAAGATTTATGTTCTGTTGAGCCAAACTGTTTTGTTAAAAAGTCAAACCCCATGAATGGAATGTACTTGAACCACATGAGTCTTCAGCATGCATTCTGTGGGAACTGAATTGGGAAAACTGAAGTAGCAGACGCATAACCAGATGGGGGAAGTGGACTCCATTACATCAGGGAAAAAAAACTTCCCTATAAATGTAAAAAAATGACAATAATTAGGCAACATTACTTCACCAAAGTCTTTTGAAATAAAATCTTTAAATAAATGTTAAAATTCATAATAAATGCAAAGTTTCTACTCAAAATCATAGAAAAGATTAATTAAATAAAGTCTTCTCTGTAATTATGTGAGTGTATCTCATAAATGCCAAAGGTTCCTACTTATATACCAAAGAAAGCTGGAAAAAGTGGGCCACATCTCAGCTAGTGCAAATCAGCATAGTTTCAATTACTTCTACTGAACTATCTTGATTTACCTAAGCTAAGGACCAGTCTCAAGAAAAAAAACTAGTATGCCACCTGTAAGTGTAAATTATTGTCCATGTTAATAACAGTGAGAATCCTCTAAATCAGGGATGGGCAAACATTTTGGCCTGAGGGCCACATCTGGGAATAGAAATTGTATGGCAGGCCATGAATGCTCACAAAATTGGGGTTGTGGTGCAGAACGGGGTGAGGGCTCTGGTTGGGGGTGCAGGCTCTGGGGTGGGGCCAGAAATGAGGAGTTCAGGGTGCAGGAGGGGGCTCCAGGCAGCGCTTACCTCAAGCGACTCCTGAAATCAGCGGCATGTCCCTTCTCCGCCTCCTGCACTCTTCCCTGTCCACAGGCGCCACCCCTGCAGCTCCCATTGGCTGCAATTCCTGGCCAATGGGAGCTGCAGGAGCAGCGCTTGGGGTGGGGGCATCATGCAGAGTGGAGCCCCCTGGCTGCACCTACATGTAGGAGCCAAGGGGGGACATGCCGCTGCTTCCGGGAGCTGTGTGGACCAGCCCCCAAACCCTGGTCCCCGGCTGGAGCGCTGGAGCAAGACCATGCCACTGCTTCTGAGAGCCACGTGGACTGGCCTCCAATCTTCCGGGGAGCCACATAGAGCGGCCCCCATCCCTGCTCCCCAACTGGACCACCAGAGCAGGGCAAGCCCCAGACCCCAGTGGGAGCTTGAGGGCCGGATTAAAAGGCTGGCAGGCTGTAATTTGCCCACCCCTGCTCTAAATCCTTTAAAAGTTTTATTTATAGAAGAAGAATATACATTATCATATCCACAGAAATTGATCCAGATCTTGATTTTAAGTACACAGTTCCTTAAGAGACTTTATTGAAAGAATCCTTTAGCAATTTTTGATGGAAATTTTAGAATTAATCCTGAATTTCAGAATCATGAATACTACATTAATGAAATAATACCTTCTGGCAGTTACCTTTCCAAAAGCGATGTTATTTTGACTCTTTCATTATTGTTTGAGAGTAAATAACTTCATATTTTTTTTAAATGACAAGAGTTAAAATGAGAAGCAAGAACAAATGACCTGTTGACATTTCTGAGTTAACATAGACATAGACTATCAGGGTTGGAAAGGACCTCAGGAGATGATCTAGTCCAACCCCTTGCTCAAAGCAGGACCAATCCCCAGACTTTTTTTTTGCTCCAGATCTCTAAACGGCCCCCTCAAGGATTGAACTCACAGCCTTGGGTTTAGCAGCCCCCTAGATATTTATGCTGACATGTTTATGTTATATTAGTGTTAATATACTTTCGTCGGCTCAGGGGAAGATTGTGTGTAAGAGTGCAGGAAAGGTACAAAGCACCTTCCCAACCTTGTATTTATATACAGTTGAAAGACACAATCTCAGATCTTGTGTTCAGAGATAGCAAAGATAGCTAGCTGAAGGCTAGCAACAATGGTGATACTAGAACCTTGTCTGCACCAGAGTCGGTCCTGTGGACTCCTGTAACTCCTACTAGGTGTCAGTAGCACTTCAGGTGCTCAGTACTTCTCAGGATTTGGCCCTAATGATTTACAAATGTGTCTGTGATGTATATCTACACCACTGGTTTTCCTTGTTGTTTTCCAATTGATTCCAAGTTGTCGTGAATTGGTTAAACCTCAAATCTGTCTAAACTGTGGGACAAGTTCTCTTCAAAGCGAGAGCCAGGCAAAAGGGTCAGTTGGAATTGTGGACTGTTGGCCCCAGAAACATCATCACCTCTCAGAATCTTCCTTTACACCTTAACATAAAATACTTGTATTGGAAAGGCTTTCATTTCATGAGAAGTAACAGAAGATAATTGCTGAGTAGAGCTGGTTGGAAAATGGTTTTTACACACTCCCACAATGGAAAATTTCAACTTTTTGTTGAAAAACTGAAATGTTTTTGTGTGTTAAGGTTTGTTTGTTTTTTACAAAAAGTTGGAATTTTCAATAGAATATTTCATGTAGTTGAAAACCCAATTTTCTGCTCAAATTGAAAAAATTTCAACCAGCCCTATTGCTGAACTATGGAGGTTAAGCAGGAGGTGTAACAAGACTGTGGTTATGGGTGCCTTCTTCCAATATGAGTGATGGGGGATTTTAATGACCTGGACAATAGAAGGTACTCCTATGTAGTATCTTTTAGTTGGTACTGTGATATATTTCCAGCTATGGTGTTGCTTCTGTTGAATTCATCCTCCAACCTGCTACTTCTGTTTGATTCTGTATAAACACACAACAAAAAGAAGGTTCCTGCTGCAAAGAGCTTACCGTCAAAGTATAAGACAAGAGACAACAGATGGATGCAGACAGACCAATGGAGCAGTAAAAGGAAACAATGAGATAATTTTGGTCCGTATGATAGGCTGTGGACTCAGCAGATTAGCAGCCGTGGTTGAGGTTTTTGTATCACAGCATCTGTCCTGCCCTCTCCCTGCTCCCACTTCCAGTCCTGCCTCATTCAATTTTGGGAATGCATTGTGTGGCTCAGATCCCTGGCAGAATGTGGCACGCAGGTGGATTGTGCCTCTATGACCTTGCTCCAAGCAGACTTACTGTCATCAGGGGCTTGCAACACAAAACATGATTCTGGCCCTTCAAACATAACCCCCTCTTCTAATGGTTAGTGTCGTATCATGCATATTTCAGATTTTAAAGACCTAGAGTAGTCAGGTATTTATCTTTTTGTGCATCACATTCACTCTTGCACACAGATGAATACAAGCATTTACTTGAAACTCTGTCCACAGCTCTGAAAACTGATGTAATAACTTAGCCAATTAAACTACATCCTACTGCTATTTCTTAGCTAACCAATGCACAGCCATCCAAACAGACTGCAGAAGTAGGGGGAACAAAAATAAATAGCATATCCACTTCTTTTCAGTGCTTTGGAGTTGTTACTCCATTACTAATAATGAAGAATAGTGTCGGGAAAAAATGAGACGCCCAATGGGAGACTACAGTAAACCACTGAAATGAGATTTAAAACACAAATATTTTTAAAACAAAAATGTAAGTGTATGAAAGGATAATTTGTAAGCAAATTAATAAATAGTAAATGTTTTTCTTATTTGAATTTTGTATGACTCACTACACACACAAAACACGTCACAGGATACTATTAATGAGGCTGTGCATGTCCTGGGATCCCAATAACAGCAGAAAATACTTTGCTTACTATAAATCCTTCTGCATAGAATTAGCTCATTTATTTGTAATATCCTTAACTCAATGGGGCCCACCATCCAGAGATGTTCCCTACATATCCCATGAAACAAACTGCTTGAGCACCAGTTTTGGAGACTGATCCAAAACCCGTTGAAGTCAACAGGATTCTTTCTACTGAATTTGGTGGACTTTGAATCAGGCCATTGGGGAGAAAACAGACTACCCAGTGAAGGAATGCCTGCTCCATAAACTACACTGGATTGCATAGGGCTTGTTCATTACCTACTCCTCCCCTGTGTGCATTGCCTTCTGCTACAGGTGCAAAGGGGGACACGTTGGAGATAGAGATGAGGCATAACATGAACTGAGGCCATTTCCTTCCTCTTCTGGACAGAAATAGCTGCTTAGCAGCCATTTTGTGTATGTAGAGTTTCTTCATCCCCTCAGCAGGGGTAATTCTCCTTATGCATATACTCTTGATAGTTAGATGATGTAATATATCTGTAGATGTATAAACATAGATACAGGTAAACCAACTCTCCAATACATAACAACTGGTCCTGAAGCACTGGTTTTTGTCTAAAATACTATTAATTTGTTTTAGTGTTTACATTTGATAGGTTACTCTGCCTCATTTAGCACACATTCTTCACCAAATGCTAGAAAATAATCCTAGTTTTCAGGCCAGCTTGGTTTTGGCCCCACCTAGGTATGCAGTGAGAAGGTACAGGGAAACATACAAAGAGGCTTCCCTGAAAACTTCACCCCTTTACTCAGACAAGATCCCAGGCATCTTGATTTAAAATTATTTTTCAAATTTTCCTCTAACCTACACTAACATTTAGGAAAAATTATTTCCCCCCCTGCTTTCCCTGAGGTATTCATTAATGCAAATAGTAGGCACCCAGTCTCCAAAAATATATTTGGACCTTAAGAAGAATAACATCAGCCCCTTTAAAGTTTGGCCATCCATTTTAGAAGAAAAATGTTTCGGTTTAACTGTAGTTCTCATATTAAATTTAGATGTCTTATACATTTTTTCATATGGTTAGTATCAGTCAAGCATGGCTGATATTCTAGTAGCCCAGTTTCATGATATTTTTATACAAAATATCCTCCTGAAGGTAAGTTAAACACTCCATAGTCCCCAAACTAAAACTAAACTTTAGAAAAAGATTTTTTAAAATGGTCTACTGAGTTAAACTATATACGCTAAATGTTATTCCTGGCATGATGTGTGACCACATGCAACATAATTAATTTCCCTCTACAGAGATTAGTAATTAAAAAAATAAAATATAAATCCTTAATACTGCTTCTCGCTGAAATAGCAAAAAGTTGGACTAGGCAAAAAATCTGTTATATATATAGCTATTATAAAAGAGCTTGTAAATATAGTGGAGCTTAAATTGGCCCAGACCATCCCCTGTAATGGAAAAATCTGTGAAATGGGACTACAGGGGTGTTTCCTCTGCAAGGATTCACTGACAACACCATCTCAGCACAGGGGGGTGGTTTGCTTCCTTGTGGAAAAGGCAGTCAGAGCTGGTTTCAACCCTAGAAGATGCTGGGGAAGCCACTAGAGGCCAGAACCATTTGAATGGAAGCACTGTGCCTCTGCACCAGCCGTAAGGGATCCATGAAGCACCCTCTCCGCCATGGCTCCTAGCAGCACTGATCCATTGGAGATTTTCCTCAGGGACTTTCTGTCTGCAGCTGCCTCTGGCTCACCGAATCTGGCTATACAGGAAAGATAAAGGAGCACCGGATTACATTATCTTCTCTAATTTCCAGGTAGCCAGAGGTACCCTTTCACACATACACCCTGACCTCCCATTACTTGCCCAGTCTCCACCTCTTCTCCAGCACACACCTCAATCCACAGGTTCTGGGGAAAGAGGGTGCCCCAGTAGAGGCAGAGCCACTGTTCCATTCAGAATGGATGATATCTGTGCACATGGGGGTTCATCCATACATATAGCTAGGGGGCACTCGTCCATTGTGTGTTAAGAATTCTCAAGCAAAATGAGCTAAATTTTAGCTAGAACTGCAATATAGTGATCTGGTTTTGACATAGCCTCATGGATTTAGTGCCTTGCATTTTCAAGACTGAACTAAAACTGCTTGCAAACCGTATTTCATCACGCCCTTGTCTAATACTTTGTGGTTATCCTTCAGGCCAAAACAAAGAAAAGATATTAATCATTAGCCAAATAAAGTTGTCAGCCTGCTCCACCCTTTATTCTTTCCAAATAAAGATCAATTGGAATAGAATGGAATCTTCACCCTTTTAGGGGGAAAAGTAAAATGAAAGAACTGTAAATTATGGGCCAGAAAAATAACTTTTTGCAATGGGTGTCGATATGACATATCTAAGTCAGTAGGTTGTTGTTGTCATTGTTTATTGATAAAATAGGATGTTTTGTTTTCTTTCTATTATGCCTTAGAGGAGGGTAAAAGAAAGCATCTGTGCTAAAGCAACCAATCTGTATTTCACTAATTCTGAGTCAGACAGCAATAGTGCTACACAGAAAAAAGGAGTCTCCTTTAAATCAGTGTATTGTAATTGAAGCTGAATATCCTAACTTTTTGGTAATTCATCTACCTCTATTCATTAATGTATTTCTTCGTTAAAATTATGTAGTTGAGTAAAGTTGAGATCTGCACAATTTGTGTTTTCCTGTAGGGTAATATAAGTACAAACCTGTTTCATATTTTTACTGTTTGTTGCACAGAATTTTGGCAAGGTCTAGACATTTGAAAGGCTGGAGTGGAAGTACCACTATTTGATTTTTATGAAAAGATTTGCAAAAGTACGCTGACAGATTTAGAAACAAAAGGCCCATTAACTTTCAATGGGACTTGTGCAATTAAATCCCTTAGGTATTTTTGAAAAGCTTCCACTTAAGTCTTTGCTTCTTAGCTCTCAATGCACAGAGGGTAAGATGGAACATTTTGTTCTTCATTTCTAGAATCTTGTCCCTAAATTCAAGGTCTTGCACAATTCTGACCCTCCCTGCTTGCCCTTGTCTCTTACTATGTTACCTATTTCTCCTCTAATCAGCCAATAATTCCATTCTCAGTGCCCCATTTGCTTCTCCCTCACTTTCGTCCACATTCGCTCTGTTCACAGAATATCCTTCCTGAACCGGTCCACAACACCACTATCCTCTTTGCAATCAAATCCCATCTTAAGGCCCCTTTCTACTGTGATGCCAGATGATTGCAGCTTGTTTTGGGGTACTTGGGCAACAGGAAAAGCTCTCAAAACATTGTGCTGGATCTTCCGCTTAAGTCATTGCCCCAGCAGCACAAGAGAGACTTAAAACTGTCCTCTGGAGCCTTAAGGAGTCTTAAAGCTGCCTGTCAAATATGGGAATTACTTGGTGGTATGAGCATAGTCAGCTCTGTGCCATCAATTTTCCCACTTCATGTTGGGTTTGTGTGGAATAGCCTGGAGCTTGCTGGTGACCCTGGGCTTGCAAGACAGACCCTAGAGGACTGTTCCAGCTGTTGTCAGAACAGCCCTGTTTCAGTTCAGTGGTTGGGAGTGAAATGGTCCCCTGCCAACCCCAGGATCAGGATCAGGGGGAACATGGTATAATGTCTCTTCTGCTCCTCTTTCAGTGGAGCTGACCATCTATCCCATTATGATCTTAAAACGTATTATCAAAAAAGGCCAGTCATCACCTGGACACTTTACGTTATTGTACCTCTTTTCCCTAATCTCTGTCTTTCTGTTTTGTCCTTTTACAGTGCAGATGGTGCCATGGTAGAGACTGAGCCACTGTTCCGCCTGAGAGGGGCAGGGACCATGCCTCCTTTTGTGTTTGTCCAGGGCTTCCATTCTGTGGGCAAATAAATAATAAAGGAATAATAATTAAGAAATAAATTTAGGTCTCCTCAGAAAGGGTTAAATTCTGCCAGGTCTTGGATGGATATTCTATGGGGAAAGGATGGGGGGATTTGTAGAGTTTTTGCCCACTCTACCTGAGCCATGCAGGATGCAAAGAAGGGTGACCTGGTACTCCACTGAGAACTAAGTGGAAGGGCCTGGCTAATGTGCCTGGTGATACACCTTGGGCCCAAAGTGGTTTGGTGACATGACCAAAGCCCCCAACAAAACCTGACTACCTGCAGACACTCAGAAGCATTTGGGTGGTAATGTATGCTTTTCCTGCTCTGGACCTGTCATAATGTGTAATACTGAGGGAGATGAAACCAGGTCCTGTCCCCCAAACCCTTACCTATTAGGTCTACATCTTCCTGGACGAACAGAATGGATCAGGGAAACAACACTTGACTGCAAAAATTCCACTCCCTCTTGGCAACCAAAAGCCAGAATGTAACCCTAATATTTAACTCCACAAAGTTTTTAAAATAAATATATTTTCCATCCCATTTCTTTAGGCACAAAAGCACCAAGGAAAGTTATTTATCAAAGTGACTTGCATCCAAAATTAGGCACAAAATAAATATTCATATCATCATTATTAGTTGGTTTTGACTGGTGTTTTCATGATGCCACAACCACTTAACTATGAATTACCTGGCATGGGCTTTTCATGGAAGGAACTGTATGTTTGTTCTGTTTTATGCTGTCAGTGAGGTATAATCAATTGCTGCTGCTTCATTTGTACTGCCTATGACACTAGGGAAAATTAAAATTAGCATAAATAATTATAGCATTTAACCTTTCAGTATTAGCATGGAATAATATATAGGTGATAAAAAGGCAAAACTGCAGGGTAAAGGAATAATTTTCACAACTCACCATTTGATAAACAAAAAAGCCAATGCAAATAAAATGAAAGAAGAAGAGTGTATGACGTTAATTAATGTTACAGCATCTTAACGGAATCTTTACACTGTAATGTTTTTAAAATGAACTGAAAAACAAGATTATTAATCATGCAAAACGTAAACGGGGAAAACATTACACAGCTTCTTCCGCTACATGAAGAATGTGCCAGGAACCCACCATACATGTGGTATTGCCCTCCCTTGAGCTACATGTCAAGAGACAGCTTCAAAGGAATTAAGGAATAATGTCCTTTTCTGCTGCTCTTTCGTCCTCATATTTAAAGCAAATGTTGGGACAGTGTTGGCCTTAATTAAAAATGTGTTTTGATGTTGCTTCTTAAGGCATGATGGGAAAGTTTGGATGAAGTAGTTATGATTTACTGCCTGGAACACACCTAGTTTTCTAATGAGAGCAATGTATCATTTTTTCTTTGCAAGAGGTTTTACTGTTTAAATATTTTTTCCTAACTAATTCTTATTTCCACATATACAATGCGGAAAACAATGCAGTTACATTTCCATAATTTTCCACAAGTAAAAAAAGTAATGGAAAACCAATATGAGTAATAAATACAAAATATCCTCAGATTCTCATGTTGTTTCATTCCTTTTTGTCAACATTTAAAGCAGATAAGCTATACAGCAAAAGATCTAATACCTATTTAACTCTGGAACATATAAAGGATGACAATAAACCTAGAGAGAGAGAGTAGATATATGGATATACAGACAGGATAACATTTTCAAGGTTTCTGGTGGAATAGTCCTTACAACAGATGTATTTTTTAATTTAGGTTTTTTACTACAAGCTTAGATCATTCATAATTATACCCTTAGACAAGAAGGGGGTATAAATAAACTTGAATGGAAAGGAAACAGTCTGTACAATAATTTTCTTTGGATCACAAGTTTGAATTTTTAAAAAAGAGGCTTTCCTTGAAGGATAGGGTGAAAGGCATTTAAAATATGGCAATCTTCCCCACTTTCTTCTTTGTTTGAGCAGATGGCTGGTGGCCAGAAAAGGCTGGATTTGAAAAATACTAATTTGTCAGGCAGATTCTAGCCCTCTTACATAAAATGAATGACCAGAGCAGGAATAATCACAGCAGAGGGAAGGAGAAAGACGGATCAAGATGATCGTGTCTCAGAATTCTGATGGTCCTACTGAAGAACTGAAAGAAACAAACTACTGAAGAACGGAAGATAGATTAGAAAAATAGTTCAGGAAAAGCAACCATATGATCTGCTACTCCTGATCCTTGTCAGATACAGGTTCCAGAACTTCTTTTGAGTTGTTAAAATAACAATTTTAACACATAATAGAGGAAAAAAGGGAGAGCCTGGATTCAGAGACCTTGGATTCAGGGGTCCTGATAATCCAGAGACAAAAGTCAATAGTGAATTCCAGTACAGCAGCTTTGGTGTTTCCATCTGGGGACCAGAAAACATCTGAATGAATGAGAGGAATGATCTAACAATCAATAACTTTTTTCAAACCATCACAAGAAGCCTTTGAACAATATCACAAGAAGGAATAAAGGAGAAAAACTGTTCTAATGGAGGGGGAAATGGACCCAGAAACAAGACCACATCCACACACAGTACAGTTTTGAAATAATAAAGGTAAAAAGCAAATTAGTCTGGAAACAGTAGCTTCCACCCATAAGAAATATAGTTGAATCTGCTTGTAGCAAACTTGGTCATAGTAAAATGTGACTTACGGCAAAAAGGAAAGAACAGAGTAAATTGCTTCTGTTCATTCTAAATGACTTCCATTCCTCTGATAGGGATGCTTTACTGCTTATCATGAAGTTTCACCAGACTGAATTAAGTGGGTTCCACCCTGCAGACAAGCGCGGGAGATCAGTGCTACATTCCCAGGGGCAAACTTTGATCAGAGCAGGGAGATAAAATGAGAAGTTGCCTGTATCCTTTTTAAATTATTTATTATTAATTAATTATTATTATTGTGATTGCTTTTAAATAGACATTAAAGTCAAGCCTATTAGTCTAAATGTCTTAACCATTCAATAGCTGAGGGAAGGGCATTTTGCAAGTCAATGAGGGAACCAGGCAGCCCTTGCCAATGGATATAGCCTGCAAGTTATGATCTACATCTTCTAACTGGCCACAGCGACAAAGAGAAGAGTCACAGAGGCCCCACTATAGTCCTTTGCAGCACTTCTAATCACTCTATATCTGACGTCAGTGAGCTTTACCCACACATAGCATAGAAGATCAAAACCAGGGGGCTGGACTGTTGGATCTGTCATGAGATAGTCAGTGCCTATGACTGAAGCTTATTCTTGCTACCTAGTATCAGAGGGGTAGCCGTGTTAGTTGTAGGTGTTGGTCTCTGTCTGAGGGGTTGGAGCAGATGCGGTTGTACCTTGGTGCTTGGCCAACACCTACAAGATCTTCACCAAACATTCTCAAAACTATGATACCCGCACAAGGAAATAAGGAAACAAATCAACCGAGCCAGACATGTACCCAGAAGCCTCCTGCTACAAGACAAGCCCAAGAAAGAAACCAACAGAACTCCACTGGCCATCACCCACAGTCCTCAGCTTAAACCTCTCCAACGCATCATCAGTGATCTACAACCCATCCTGGACAATGATCCCTCTCTTTCACAGACTTTGGGAGGCAGGCCAGTCCTCGCCCACAGACAACCTGCCAACCTGAAGCATATCCTCACCAGCAACCACACACCACACCATAACAACTCTAACTCAGGAACCAATCCATGCAACAAACCTCGATGCCAACTCTGCCCACATATCTACACCAACAACACCATCACAGGACCTAACCAGATCAGCTACAACATCACCAGTTCATTCACCTGCACGTCCACCAATGTTATATATGCCATCATGTGCCAGCAATGCCCCTCTGCTATGTACATTGGCCAAACTGGACAGTCACTACGTAAAAGGATAAATGGACACAAGTCAGATATCAGGAATGGCAATATACAAAAAACTGTAGGAGAACACTTCAACCTCCCTGGCCACACAATAGCAGATGTAAAGGTAGCCATCTTACAGCAAAAAAACTTCAGGACCAGACTCCAAAAAGAAACTGCTGAGCTTCAGTTCATTTGCAAATTTGACACCATCAGATCAGGATTAAACAAAGACTGTGAATAGCTATCCAACTACAGAAGCAGTTTCTCCTCCCTTGGTGTTCACTCTTCAACTGCTAGCAGAGGACCTCACCCTCCCTGATTGAACTAACCTCATTATCTCCAGACTGATTCTGGCCAGCATATTTATACCTGCCTTGGAAATTTCCATTACATGCATCCGACGAAGTGGGCATTCACCCACGAAAGCTTATGCTCCAATACATCTGTTAGTCTTAAAGGTGCCACAGGACTCTCTTTTGTTTCTTGCTACCTAAGTATGCCATCTGGAGGTGATATGGAGGTTCTTTAACAGAATTGTCTAAATGGGGTGCTTTGAGCTAAGCTAGAGGATCAGAAGATTATACACATCTTTAAACAGGGGTAGATGTGGGATGTTTCCTTTAGGGGAAGGGGTAAGGAATAATCAGGGCCTCCTGAGTTTGCTGCAGCTACTCCCAGTAGGGATTGAAGAGATCTTGCTATAGCTGCTGCTGACAAGGAGCAAAGTTATATTATGGCTTTCCAGAGCCCCCAAATGCAAAGAGTGAAGAAAAGGGAATCTTGAGCTCACAAAGCACTTTCCTATTATATGAAAACTGTGTATAGAGAAGTTGTTGTAAAGAAACAAAATCCTTTTCCTTCTAACAGGGTTTCACAGTGCACCTATTAGGATCTGGAAACAAGAGTTGAAATCAGTTTAGATGTTAGAGGTTGAGCATAGTTCCTTTATACTTTTCAAACAGCCAAAGTAGGATTAAAGAATTTGCCTGTTTTGGTCTGTTGACACCCAGAAAAGCAGGAAACAAGTGCGTAAGCAAGCATAGCATTTAGAGTCAGATTTTACCATCAAGTCTGCACTTAGCTGTTATGGAAAGAGCTTATAGAATTTACTAGGGATAAATGGCAGCTACTAGGGGATCCTGTAGGTTGCAACAAGTGCCCTCTTCCCCTTCACTTTCCCCCTCCCTTTCCCCTTCCCCTCAGTTTACAGCCGGGCTTTTAAATCCGGCTGTGTGATTGTATTCAGAGTCACCAGCCCTCTGACTGGCCAGTAGTACTGATGACCCTAGAACTAGCAGCCAAGGTCTCTTCTGTCAAACCCCTTGCTGCTGCCTCCCTGGACTTCTTCCTACTCCTCCTTCTCAGCATTTCTTCCCTGTAATTTCCTTGGGTTGACCCTTCTTTCAAGGCTAGGATCCCAGGGCTTATTCTACTCCTTGGGTACCATCCTCACCCCACTCTACCCCCCAGACAGTGACTGAAGACTTACTACAGCCTCTTCTTGCTCTCACTTCCTGTTTTATAATCCTATCTTAGTTCCTCCTCTAGCAGGTTTCATTTGCCATTAAGATTTATCAATCCCTGGTTCCCCTCCAGGTGCAGCATATAAAGTTAACCTGCTCTCAGGGCTTGTGTGGGGTGGGCACCCCGATCGCACTAGCCCTAAAGATTAAAGACAAAATCTCAAAAATATGAACCAGCCAAAGCAGTGTCTTCTGCCTGAGCCTTGGAGAGCCTAAAATACTAGCTCTAAGAGAGCCTCTGGACTCTGCAGTTACAGACTATAATTTGGCATTTTTCCAAGGTGCCATGGAATTCACCATTTTGTATCAGGTAGGCACGAGTCATTCTCCTTTCTCTCTCCCTGCCTGTAGCTGTCTCTGGTTCCACAGGTGTCAACATAAGGAGGCATTAATTGGATTATCATGCACCCC